CCCTAATCCAATATGACTCTGGTGTCCTTATAAACATGGGACACACACACAGAGGGGTAGACACAAAGAGGGGGGACACCATGTGAGGACAGAAGGCAGAGAATGCAGCTGTCAGCACGAGCCACAGAGAACCTGGGGCCACCGAGAGCTGGAAGGAGCAGACTTCCCTGCGCTTCCACAGGAACATGGCCCTGCCGACACCTTGATTTTGAACTTCTAGCCTCCAGAGTTGACAAATTTCTGATGTTATAAGCTACTAGCCCGATTGTGGTACTTCGTTACATAACCCCCATTGTTGAACATAGCCTCAATTTGGGGCTTGTATAGCTATACTAGAGGCCCAGTGCATGGACTTGTGCACTGGTGGGGCCCCTTGGCCTGGCTTGCGGGGATCGGGCCAAAACCGGCTCTCCGACATCCCCCGAGGGGTCCCAGATTGTGAGAGGATGCAGGCCAGGCCGAGGGACCCCACCGGTGCATGAATCAATGCACTGGGCCTCTAGTATGCATATAAGATCTTTGGTTAATCTCTTCCTGCCCTCCCCTTTACCCCCTTCCCTCTGAGATCCATCAGTCTGTTCCATGTCTGTGGTTTCTGCTCCTGCGTTGAGCACCTGCCCCCTGGTGGTCAGTGCATGTCATAGCTACCGGCCAGCCAGTCGCTTAGGATTTTATATATATTAGCTATCTTAAGCACAGTTGCAATCATTGCCACAGAATTCATAGATACAGAATTGCTGGGTCAGAAAATATACAAGATTCTGAGGCTTTTATCTTGCATTGCTAAGTTGCCCTCTATATGAAAGTATTAATTTAAATGATCACTTGGTAACAGAAGATTTAATTTTGGGTGGTGGGCACACGGTGTAATATACAGATCTTGTAACATAGAAACCCACACCTAAAACCTAAATGTTTATGTTGACCAATGTCACCCCATCAATTTATTAAATAAATATAAAAAGAATAATTTAAATTTCTCCAATACTGTGGGAACACCCATTCCTTACACTTTGACTAAGTAGGCTTTGTTCATGCTATTTTTAAAAAGTGTACCTTGTTTTTAAAAGAGCAGTTCAGCTGAGTGCTGAAGAGCCCTTATAACAAGCCCTTGGACTCTACACTGTTGCTTGACTGTGAAGCTATGCCCAAGACCTGTGAGTTTCAAAGGCAGTGTTTATGCTATGCTTCATCACTGTTAATTTCTGACTTGGGTAATCAAAGTGTCCAGAAAAAGATATGCCAGAGCCTGGTGGGTAGGACTTCACAGATGTATACTCTAGCAAGATTTAGTTGCAATGTTTCTAGGTTAGTCTGTGCTTGGTCTCCTAGAAAGTGATCAACTCAGGCAAAGAAGGTACAAGTGGGAACACACTGCGTCCAAGAACAGATTTGGACAAACCAATCACAGTGGAAATAAATATTAGCTTTATTAACACTCAGAGTGCCGTTCATTTATATTCCATAACCCAGGTTACTTACAGTAACCCTCTGCACCACAATCTTTCAAATGAATTAACATGTTAAAAAAAAAAGCAATTTTCATTGTGCTAATTATTGCAGCCTTCATGCATGATAAATCTAAAAAAAATGTGTGCCAACAATATACAAATTTCCATATAAACAAAGTCACTGATCACTAACAAAATATAAACATGGTTTCTTTCACATTAGATTTTTAAAAAGCTATTTATCAGCAAGAAAAACAAATACATAAAAACTCTGAAATTTTATACATTTTTACAAGCACAACTTTCAATGAACAACACAAAGTCAAAATATGCATGAAATGTGGCACATACCACGCTGTATCTGGCTTCTGGGAGGTTTTAATCATACTGGCTCTTGTAACATAATAAGCTTAGTGACATTCAACTTCAACAGTGGACTGTATTCCTAACACAAGTAATTTTACATGGTACCGCATATTAAAAACAAGGATTTCCTTAAGTACAATAACATTGTCAGATTGGAAATTTAATTTCCAATTCTTTTTCTGCCAGTTACTTAGCATACACAGTACAGTACAAAGACATTCAATGTATGTTTGGACATTTCTAGACCAATTTATAGTCAATTGCAGAGAATCATAAACGAGGTCTGACCTTGCCCAGTGAGGAAAAAACCTAACTGTTAACATCTTTAGGGTAGGATAAAGGAAACAGTCAACAACAGTAGGACCAGCCAAGAGAGCCTGGAGACAGAAAAGTCTCCGCATCTTTTCAAGATGAGTTAGTGCTCAGTTTTTTCATAGCTCTGAGGACTCAAAGGCCATTTTAGTGGGCAGTGTGTTTTTGCTACTGCTTACGATCTCCTTTTTCCTCTGAATTTGCACTTCAGAGAATTCTCAAAAGAGAACCAATGCTCTTCCTCCCAGGAGTACTTTAACTTACATCTAAGTAAACTTGTGTGTAATTCTGGAAATACAAATGTGTTGTGAATGGTTAAAAACAAAATTTTAAAAATATTTTAGATCAGCCAGCTGAAAATATATTCATATAGTAAATAATCTCTCAGAAAGCTTTTACATATATTTAATTCTAACTAAACAGTACCCTTATAAAAAACAAGTTCATAAAAATGTAGAAACAAATGAAAACAAGAAATTACTGGAATATATAAATGTGCCTACAGACAGACAGACAGACATCTCCACACACAACATCCCCTGATACATGGAGTTGCAAGCATACTTTCAACTTAGTCATGGATTTTAAGATACATGTAAAATCAGAAAGTGAGTTGAACTCCTGAGTTCTTCGACAAAGAGAGAACCAAGATGCGCATACACTGTAAAAGCAGTAAGGTCCATGTAAGTCTGTGACAGCAGTGCAGTTACTGATGGCCACATGTTGAAAGAAGTTAAAACAGAGACACAGACAGTAGTTCAATGCACACATTCATGATGCTCATACACACATCAACAATTATTGGTCAAAGCAGTACATCAGTGTACAAATTAAAAACTTCCAAAAATGTGCAAAGTCAACCTTGATAGGAAAAAAACATTATTATTTGTACATTATTATAAACTGCCCAGCATTCAACTGAGATTAAAATTTTTTACAGAGAGAACTAATAGGTTAAATATAAAGAATTTAATGGCTACATTAAAAAATGTACATTAGGCCAAAAGGTAAATTTACAAATTGATAATCATAGTTTGTAACAAAGTTTATTCTCAAACTTATCCAAGTTTACTTTTATTTATAATGATATCTGAATAAAAAGAACCATGTGAAATGTAAGAGATGTCAGACATTAAAAGTATTCTTGGTATTAACTATTTTATAATATTTCTGAATGCAGAGTAGCAAATTTTAAAACCAACAGCAATAGAAAAAATGTAAACCTTTTACTAATTAACATTGTATTAAAAACAATCATGTTTTTAAAGAAGCATTCTTACCCTTAGACACGGTCCTTTTGCTTGAATAGGATATATTGCAAGGTTTGGCCCACTTTCCCACTTCCTTTTGCCCATAAGCCTTTTCATCTCAGTGTTTCCATTAGTCCTCCCTTCTTTTTTTTTTTTAAATATATTTTATTGATTTTCTACAGAGAGGAAGGGAGAGAGATAGAGAGCCAGAAACATCGATCAGCTGCCTCCTGCACATCCCCCACTGGGGATGTGACAGCAACCCAGGTACATGCCCTTGACCGGAATCAAACCTGGGACCTTTCAGTCCGCAGACCGACACTCTATCCACTGAGCCAAACCGGTTTCGGCCAGTCCTCCCTTCTTATTCCAGGTGGGGGGAAAAGTCTTTGGAAAAATTAGAATATGTCAAATGCCTTTTGGAGTCTAAGTATCTACTAGAGTTTAAGATGTAATTTTGTTACTTATCTCTCTCCTCTAAGTAATGCTAATGCTAAAATCACCACTAGTTACATATGCTTTTAAAATTTAAATTCTAAAAAAATAAATGAACATAAAAGTGCTTTCAGTACAATCACAAACTTTACTGTTCTCAACTGTCATTAAAGGACTCAGATATCCTTATTTGTGGACAAATGCTGCATGTAAACTGGAATGCAGACTCTTTTTTATGTTCCAAAGTGTCTATGGCACAAAGCAGACATCAGACTATAATTTGCATTTCTTCACAGCTTTCCTGATATGTCTCCCAAGTCAATCATAAGTTCCTAAATGTTAAGACACTAGAAGAAAGTACACTTCCAACCTCAGGCATCGCTAGTCAACGTATCTATGGCCAGCTGATGTTAAGGAGCTCGGCAGGTGTACAGGCTCAAGTCTGCAATGCCTGTAGTTCCGTAATAGCTGAAGTAAATTCTGCTGCCTAAGTGCAAACACTGAGTGCCTCTCCTTTTACCTGAGGATAGACTGAGATGCAGATTCTACTAGTATCTACTTTGTCATTTTTATCCCATTAGCTTACAGGTGGGCAGAAGTAACGGTGCTAATCATTTTGGCAATGTGTGCAGGGAATATAAAAGCTTTGGTTTAAAGTGATTCTGATATTGCAGATTGTGAATGCAAACAAGAGTAATCAGGCATAGGGAATAACAGGACTCACTAATTTAATGCCTTTGCTGTTTTATCAAACATATATTACTGTCAATTAAAATGCAGAATTATGAAAAACATGAAGAACTACATAAAAGACTGGGTGCAGGCAACAGGTACGATTCTACTCTTTTCTCTCGCTGACTCCTCCCTGTACTCTGACATGACTCATGTCCACTCTCGCTATCACTGAGAGGAGTCTCCAGACTCTCCTGAGAGCGCATGAGGCGAGTGTGGGCACTGCTGGCTCTGCCCTTCCTTCGCCTGCTGTGGCATCCTGCTCAGATGGAGACCCCGTGAAGCAGGGCCAGTGGCTCCACAGCATGCGCTCCCTAGCCAACCAGGAGGAGGTGTAAGAGAATTTCCTTTCCAATGTTTCATAAACTAAGGAAGCTGGTTTTGATAATGTCTGGCAGAATTTCTATCCCAAAGAGTTCATGAAGAACTATGCAAAATCAATTACTTTCTATTTAAGGGTTAAGTATAAGCTATTATACACACATACAAATTTAATTTTAATCTACTTTTAGCAACCAAGAGCTTGGCAATTTATAATAAATACCTGTATTAAATAATCATTTGTACTAGTTACTTGTGAAGAATGCTGGTATTCCTACCCAAGGATGATTACTCATCCATCACCAGTAGGTCATACACATTTGAGTTGTTCCTCCAAGAACAGAAACTAATCTAACTGAACATTCATACCTTTCCTCTCTTTCCATCCCTGCTCCACTATACACACACACACACTTCACAGAAATGTAAGTTAGAGTTTTCATTACAATGTTAGATTAGAAATTTGCTATCCCTGGATTTCTTGCTCATTGCCCTACGTCTCATTGCCTGAACATTTGTAAACCATTTAAACAACCTTGTTAGGGCAAAAACAACCATTCTACCTCTGCTATGATCATCAGAACTGAACCATGATATACAGAGACTCTGGACAGTGTCCATCTGACTGAAAATCAAGCGCCCACCGGAAGACACCTTCCCGCCTGCCTTTAGAAGGAGGACACTCTCTCCTATCTCAGCAGTCCACGCCTCGCGGAGACTGTGCTGTGTCTGTGCAGATTAATGCCGATGTTTGTCTTCTAACATTAAAAAGAAGAGGTAGAAAAGGGTAGGAGGAGGAAGCAGGAAGTAAGAAATATTTAAGGGCTAATACACAGTCTAAGGCCAAATCAATTCTTGAAACTACTGATTTTGGAAAAAAAACTTCATTTTGGTGGGTAACATGAATTATTCATATAAAATAAAATTAAGGCATACAGAGAAAAAGGCACTACCAAAAATGAACGGTTAAATTGCTTTTCATTAACATTTAACCAATCTTAAAATTCAAATAAATATGAACATTACATTCGTAACAAAGGTCAAACCCAATATAAAACAGGAAGGTTTTAAGAAATTGTCTGGATCTTAGTATAAATAACACTGTTGACAGAATTCAATTCCTATAAAATTTCTAGACAATTTAGACCAAAATAAAGTTTTTTTTTTCTTTAAAAGAAACAGAAGGAAAAAGCACTATTTATGGGATAAATGCCCTTCATGGCGGAACTGTCTGAGCAGAGGCTGGGTTGTGGGAGGGAGTCCTGAGAGAGCGGCTGCTGAACAACGGAGGTCCCTCTAATTTGGGGCTACTTTTAATTCATGTTGTTAATGACATTTTGGTTTGTAACAGCCAATAATTACCCAAAACTGCTATTTCCTTACATCACAAGAAACCGTAAGACTTTAAACATCATTGCTGAGCTCTCAGAGTGAGGGTACTGTTTGCCCGTGTCTCCTCCTAGGCTGGGATCTCCTTAAGGGTAAGTGAATTAGTACTGACACAGTAGCCACAATTACTGAGTGAGCAAATAAAAAAAGATTCACCTTATTTAAAAAAACTGATTACTATACTTGACTGACACCAGATGATTTTATATCCAAGCTATTGGTCCCTAGACCCCAAATGAAACCCCTGGCTCGGAACGCTGCCATGGGCCAAGGAGTTGGCATGTGGCAAACATCTTGACTTTTGAGCCCAAGCGTGGTCGTCCCTATAAACTATTCAGATTTGATTTTCTTAATGACTTCACGTATCTTATCCAAACTCCATCTCAGAAATACTAGAGATCAGACCTGACACATGTAAGAGGTAAAGTAGCAGAAAGCTGCTCTAAACAAATAATTTTTCTTTTTAACATAGTTTCTAAAGAATAAGATAGAATCTCAAGTGAAAGCCAATTCAATTTACTCTAAAATAAGCTTTAATTTTTTTTGTAGCTCATTCAACCTGTGCGTTTCAATTTCATATAAATATGGGAGGTTGACGATGCCTCTGAAAACTTTCTAAGGCAACAGTCTTTAACCATTTTTTCAAGTTAGAAACATGTTTTGTAAATGAGGAAAATGGAAAAAATTGTAAGATATTCATACAGAAAATTTCAAATACATTTGAAAGAATTACTAACCATTACTAAATTTCCATTAGTCATTCTATTTTTCAACCCTTTTACTCAATGCATTTTGTTTGCGATGTAAAATCTTCTACTTGGCCAAAACCTAGGTCCTGCCATCGTGACTCCCGCAAGGCCCAAGTGGAAAGACACTTCCTGAAAAGCACGGTCAGACTGCCCGGGGACCTTCCCAGCACCAGAGTCCGCCACAGCCTGAGCGCGGCATCGTGAAGGCACAGTCAGCAGTCTGACCCTTTCCAGCCTCAGCAAAGAAGCACTACCTATAGAAGAATGAGTTGTGCAGCTAAAAAACAAAACACATTTAGAGTCATCTTAAAAAGTTCAAATTTCATTTGTTGATCCATACCATTAGAAAAAAAAAGGGGTGGAGTGTTATATCTAATTGCCCCTGATAAAGGTGTTTTAGCTCAAAAATTTCTTTTTAAAATTTACTTTTGCTCTTCCATATGTCATCCCACTTCAAGCTTTTTTGTTCTAGTAGCTTTTATATATATTAACTTTTCTTGCGGTTTTGGTACCTTTACAACTTATTTAAAATAAATTCACATCACATTTTATATAATAACTCTGTAAACTATTAGTCTATTTTTAAGTCTTTACATAAAGAACAGTACTCTCCCATAGCTAATAATATTTTTCCTATAAAACAAAGGTCTTCTGCAGCAGTGTTAAAGTAGCAGTTTCTTTCAGGTGATTTGTTTTCTATGCATTTAAAAGTAAAAGGGAGACTGAAAAAAGCAAACAATTTTGCTTTGGGTGTCAGAGTCTCTCAGGATCTCTCTCTAAAGAGTGTTAGTCTCAGATTCTGCACCGCTGGTTACCCTGACAGACCAACAAGAGTCAGAAGGAAATCACAGCCACAGAGACAAAGAACAAAGGAAAAGCCCCTTGGCCCAGACACTGTGGTCTCGCTCCAGCACAAGTGATGCCTTCACCCATGAGAAGATGAGAAACGGGACAGCTCCTTGTCCTTGGGGATGGCTCCCAGCACAGGGTGCCGCTGACCTCCAGGGAGACCACTGATTCATATTCTTCCTGGTGAGCCGCTTCCGTGGATTACAGGGTATGAGAATCTTGGTGTTTTGACTTCTTCTCAGACTAGCTAGTAGAACTTCAAATTTCCTACAGGGAATGACAGATAGGACCTGATACAGTAAACCACAATCTAATGAACTTCAGAAACAGCTGAGTCCCTAAAGATCATACTTTTTAGCAGAAAATGAAATATCTGCATCCCCTATGAATCCCATAAAAGGCATCACATATAGGGCCTCCAGGAAGACTACTACTTTCTAGATCTTTAAACATAAAGCACTTCGCACTTGCTTTAATAAACTGGGAAATATTGCAAGTGGCCACATCACTGATATCATTCATATTTTTCAGTAGCTCCAGTCCATCAGGGATCATGGCTTCTCCTAGGTGTCTCCTTCCATTCAAAGTCCTTGCTCTTAGTGGATACATTGTACTAGAAATACCTGGCGGTTTTAACTTTCCTATAAAGTAGTTAAACCTTGTTTTGATATGCTTTGCTTTTCCCATGACTATAAGCTGAGTTGAGGAAAGAATATATGCAGACAGTGGAGTTCAATGAGCTCTGTGTTTGAAGCCACTCTGTCTCTAGCAGGGAGTTCCTGCTTTGGGTGCGATGTGCAGCTGGGAAGGAATGGGTTGCTACTGGTGTTGAGGTCATTCACCCTGACTTGAAGCAGTGGTATTTGCTCTTGTAAAACACTCACTATGCATCCTATCTCTGAAATTACTGTTTGCAAGGAACCTGCTTTGTAAATGGCTGCCAGCAGTCTGTAACTGGGGCTGGTCTTTACCACAGGGCTCCTGAACTTTGGCACTTTGGACATTTTGAGCAGGATGGTTCTGTCGGGAGCAGGTGTGGTCCTTACAGACTATGGTTTGTTTAGCAGCATCCCTGGCCTCGACTCACTAGATGCCACTGGCATCCTCCTAAGCTGTGAAGCCAAAGCTGTCTCCAGGCCTTGCAGGTGCCAAGGGAAACAGCCCTGCCCCTGGAGAGCCACTATCTTACTATGTTTGAGGTGGCTCAGTATTCTGTGATCCCAAGAACAAGGGTTTTTCTCCCGACACTAGCTTCATGGAAACTCCAGGTGAAACTCTTAGTTCCTAAGAAATGTTACCCTATGGGGAATCAGGAGCTAGAAATAGGAAGATAGAATATACATTATTTTGATTATTTATTCTTTCTCTTAATTTTGGGACTTTCTCACTCAGGTAAAGATCATACTTTAAAATACACTAAACAACACATACTTCTGCTTCTCATTATTTCTCTTGATTGGCAAACGTGGTCTCTTCTACTGTGCACACATTAAGTAAAGCAATCTCCTTTTGTCTTTTAATTTGGATTTGCTCATTGACTTCCATATCTGTTTTAAAATAAAATAGTATCTTTTTTTAAAAAACAAACAAACCAGAAAACTATCCCACAAGGTTTTTAGATCCCAGTAACATGGATCTTCTATAGTGTATTTGCTTATTATACTGGTTAGGATTAACAAATAAACATAGTTCTTAGAGATTCATATTTTCTATCATGATTCCTACTGAGCAAGAAGCTTGGTATACAGAGGTTAGGATCTAAAGAATACAGATATAAGGAGGAACCTATATTCTTTAAGTTGAGTACCCACTCTAGACTCAAGTTTAGGGCTCAAACCCACAAATGAGGATCTATTTTAAGTACTGTCATTAAAAACTACAAAGCAGATATCATTTTCTTCTCCTTGTTTCCATGTCTATCACCACCGATTTGCCGGTAGCACAGAGAAAGACCCTCTAGTCCCAGGTATTCCAAATGATCTGTTTGTACTAGAAAGAGTGACCACGTACTAAAGTGCTTTATATGTCTGAACCACATCAGTACACTATAAAAATTTTAAAAAAAAGTTTCAAGTTCTTGTAAGGGAAAAAAACGATTAAATATAAAAAATTTAGGTTACTATTATTAAACAAATTTAACCAAGAATCAAGAGAAACACTTTCCCTCTTGTCTTTTTCCTCCCATCTCTCTTTTTTATAAAAAAGAAAAGTGCAGTCAGAGAGGAGGTGCAGGCAGATGGGCGCCGGGGGCAGGGGGGCTGGCTGCTAGTGACAGTGCACGAACAGGTGCCTCAGCAGCTCCTCCGCCGACGGCCTCAGCTTGGCCTCCGTGAAGATGCGCTGGAGGAAATCCCGGGTGTAGTCGGAGACCTGAGGGGGCAGCTTGGGGTTTGTGGGCTGAGTGGCGATTTTAAAGATGGCAGCCATTGCTTCATATTCCGCCCACGGAGGCTTTTCAGTTAGCATTTCTACCACAGTACAGCCCACACTCCTGAAAAGGAATTTAAAAGTTACATTTACACAAACAAGATCATCATAAAGAAGGATAGTTACTACAAAATAAGAAACAGGAGTGAAGTCAATATACATTAAGTGTGATTGATTTCAAGTTTAGTTTCATTAAAAGGTTGTAACTATATATAACATAGTTTAAAGATAAAAATCAGTGAAAATAAACCACAATTTAAGGACTGACTCAAATGGTTAAGCACAAAGTATTACTTTAAGAATAGCTGAATTATAAGAGACTAACAGTAAAAATTGATTACTTCTAAGTTCTTAGGGAAATGAAAAATAGTTTTCTAGTGCTGAAGATGCTTAAGATAAAACCCTTCGTCAAGAATGGAAGTCAATGATTAAGCTTCAATGAGGCATAATTAAAATATTCACCCTTGCAACCCTGACATCCTATTTCAAAAGCACGAAAGACCCCTGACACCTGGCCAGGCATTTCTACCCACGGAGACAGGCCGAGGGCCAGCCCGCAGCAGACCTACCAGATGTCCGCTTTGCGGCCGTAGCCTTCCCCGCTGATCACCTCGGGGCTCATCCAGTAGGGCGTGCCCGTGACAGACTTCATTCCTGTCCCCGAAAGGCAGATTGTTTGAAGCCGTTTGCTGGCCCCGAAATCTCCTAGCTTGACGTTGCCTGTTGAATCTCGCAGAATATTCGCACCTAAAAATAAGAAACATCCTCCTTGCATTCTTCCTGTCGGCAGTTTGGAGCGTATAAAAGGACAACAGCAGAGAAGTAAACGGAGCAGACTCTTCGATCTGTCTCCAAACTGCCGCTCGCACCGCCAGTCAGGACAGTGCCCATGAAGGGCTCACTCACACACTGAAGATTCAGAACCAGGGAGTGCGTGAAGGCCACGCGGGGACGGGGCGGGCGGAGGAGGGGCAGCACAGCAGGCTCTGGGCCCAGTGTGTCTGTCCTAAAGCAAGAGGCTGCAGCTAAAGCTCATTTCCCTGAGGAGGGATGTCCCGGGGGACCCTCATCATCAAAACTTCCAGCACTTTCCTCTCCTGCTCTAACTTAGTATTAGTTATTTTATATTTTATAGTTTCTCTAAATATTGGGTTTTGCTTTATATTGATGTTTCTTCTCAATTTCTACATATTTAAAATCTCTTCCAAGCAAGCTTCCAGCTTTGTTTTTAAATTTCATTTACTTTTATAATAAACTTATTATAAACTGACTCTGATTGCCTAGCTTGAGGTGGTTGAATTCTCTACGGTGAAGTGCCCCTCTCCCTTGCCATGCTGTCCCGAGAGGCTGGCACACAGCCCATGAAGGAGTCGGCTGCGCTCCAGGCGGAGCGGAGACAGGAATTACTGGGAATCATTCTGCACAGGAGCTTGTCTCCTCTCCCACCGGCTTCTTTGCCAATTTGTTTGTATCACTATGAACACAAGGATATTTATTTTATACTTTGGGTTATAAACTAACGTGCCTTTTTCGTTGCTCACATTGTTCCAGCTTTGGCCAGTGGGAACTCTTTCTCTTGGCTCCTGTGTCCCTTTGTCATAACCCCATCATTGTGTTCCTGTTTTTGGTTTGGGGTTGGTTTTTAGCATCTTCTTACTTTCGGGCACTATTAGATGCTCAAGGCCTAGAATCAGCCCTCTCTCCAAAGAGCCCTAGTTACTTTTTTTTAAAATTTATTTTTATTGTTTCAGAGAGGAAGGGAGAGGGAGAGAGAGAGAGAAACATCAATGATGACAGAATCATTGATCAGGTGCTTCCTGCACACCCCACCCTGGGGATCGAGCTCACAACCCGGGCATGTACCCTGAGCGGGAATCTAACTGTGACTTCCTGGTTCATAGGTCAATGCTCAACCATTGAGGCACACCGGCTGGGCCCTAGTTACTTTTAATGGTATCAGAAACCAAGATCCAGGGGCTAGGTTCATTTATTTGTTATTCTCTGTTTTCCCCTTTATTTATCATTTTAAAACTCAATTTTTTCTTCTGAAATTACAAGTCTTATTTCTGTCTTATGTAAATTATTTCTATTCTCATTTTTAGCTTTACCTATAAACTACCAGTTTTTAAATAAGCAATTTATTTTAACTTATCCAATTTTGAAACTGTTATTTTTAAAAAATATTTTTATTGATTTTGAATGAGAGGAAGGGAGAGGGAGAAAGAAAAACACTGATGTGAGAGCAGAACACGGATTGGCTGCCTCCTGCACGCCCTCCGAGCCTGCAACCCGGGCATGTGCCCTGACCAGGAACTGAACCGGCAACCCTTTGGTGCACTGGAAAACAATCAACTGAGCCACAGTGGCCAGGGCTACTTTGTTCTTTTTAAGTCTCCTATAACCATAACCACATATTTTTTTAAGTGGGGGGAAATGATGAAAGGTCTTTTAAATATTTTCTTTTTATTGATTTTAGAGAGAGGAGAGAGGGAGAGAGAAACATCGATCAGTTGGAGGTCCACTGATCCCCACAGGACAGGCCGAGGGACCCCACTGGTGCACCAATCTGCGCACCGGGCCTCTAGTATTTTATATTTTTAAAAATCCTTTTCTGCCGAAACCGGTTTGGCTCAGTGGATAGAGCGTCGGCCTGCAGACTGAAAGGTCCCAGGTTCGATTCCGGTCAAGGGCATGTACCTGAGTTGCGGGCACATCCCCAGTAGGAGATGTGCAGGAGGCAGCTGGTCGATGTTTCTCTCTCATTGATGTTTCTAATTCTCTATCTCTCTCCCTTCCTCTCTGTAAAAAATCAATAAAATATATTAAAATAAAAAAAAAAAATAAAAAAAAAATCCTTTTCTTCTTCCTTTTTTTTTTTTTTAATGGCCTCTAAGGAGAGTGAGTAGTGGAGAAAAGCTACATTATAGACGGGAGAGAATGCATACTGTCCAGTCCCACTGTGAACTTCCGTACTTGTCTCTGTTCTCCCAGCAAACCCCAGCCTGGTGGTGGTGGCTCTCCACAGCTCTGCCAGTACCAGATGCCGTCCCAGCGAGCCACAGGCCTGAGGGAGGCACACACCAGCAGTCCGGCAGAACAGCACTGTCTACCCTGTCAACATCTCCCTGTTCATCACGCAAAAAGGACTCTGTAAAAAAAAAAAAAAGCCACTATCTCTAAAATATTTAGCCAGGGAAGGGCAAAAACAAGCCAGATTTTACTGGCTACAGCAGGGAAGGCACAGTCCCAGGCAGACCACAGACAGGCAGAGCTAACCATGGGGAGGAATCACCAATGTGGCATCAATGCCCATCCATACGAAGGGCTGAGTGAAAAATGTGTAACCAGGTTCCCAATATAGACTCCTACGTTTTCAACTTACTTTGGATACCTTAAAAGCAAACTATGAAGGAGATTTTTCAAACAAATATAAAAGCAGGTAGAATAGTATATGTATCCATGCCCCAGCCCCACCTGTGCTGCCAGCCTCTCCCTCTTCCCCCCTCATATTATTTGAAACAAAGGCAAGACTTCATGATCGATAGTTCATTAGCTTTAAAAGATAATGGCTCTTATTACACCAAACAGGATGGACAATACCTCCTTAATAATGTTAAATATATACTCAGGGGTTTTTACATTTTTATAAAAACCAGAATCCAAATAAGGTCCATACATTGAGACTCAATGATTCATATGTTAAGCCTTTACTGATCTAAAGGTCCCTGTGATCTTTTCCATGGCACTTTAGGAGGAACCTGAGTTGTCTGCCCGTGGCTTTCCTAGTGACTAGGTCTTCGGACTCCATCCCAAGGCACCCTATTGGCCATGTTCGTCTGCTGATATGTATAGTCTACAATTCTAAAATTTGGTAGCTGAATCTAAAGGCTTGATCAGATTCAGATTATTATTATTACTTTTTGCAAAACTACTTCATAGATATGATGATGTAATCTAAAGATAGGAAGTATGTCATGCTCAACTGTCTCTGTTTTAGATGTCAGCACCTGTTAATCTTTAATGCTTATACCTATTAATTCATTAGTGGTTGTAAAATGGCACTATTCCATAATTCCTTCTTCATTTGTTAGTCAAAATATTGCTATAAAGACAAGTTTTCTTTCAACCACTATGTTGTCCTCAATGGTACAGTCAGTAAAAGAAAGGCAGAATAAAGGGACCCTGTTATGAAATAATGAGTTGATTGCCTAGCAACAATGATCAATTAGTTTTTATCCTAGGTTTCATCAACTATCGTTCTTTTTCCCTCACAGTTTAAAAATTTCTCACCATAAAGTTTGGGAAATATAGAAAAAGTAAAAACTGTGTCAAAGAAAACAACTATCACTCATCCTGCCATTTGGAAGTAACCACTGTCAATCATATGAACACTTTTCTTCTAGGCCATACTCTCACTTTACAGACGGTATTGCATCTCTAACTTACACCTTACTTTCCTCCTGTCCCTGTATTTGTACTATCAGGATTTTAAGTCAGCTTGCTTCCAGCCTCATCTGACTAGTGTGGTTCATCACTCCTGGTAAGGCCCATCTGGGGTAGCTCCCCTTGGTCCCTGTACCTCGTCTCACTATGAGCGCTAAAGAGAAACCAGCTTGAATAGAGATCATTCCTAAAAGAATTCCCCAGTGTGGTTCTTCAAGCTATCAGCTGTCCTTGACACCTGAGGCCTGCCTAAGCTGGGCAGATTTTGACATGAAAGACAGGCTCCTCTCTCTTCAGGTCATGAGCCACACCCTCCTTCTCTTGTATGCTTCATTCTGGTGCGACGGTCTGGCTCAATGTTCTGTAGCAGAGTCCACTATATCACTAGACACTGGTTAGCAGCGCTCTCTTTAGCCTGAATATGGCCACATTCGGGATGTGGCTCACCACAGGAAGGCAGTAAATACCTGGGTAGCTCAACCCCTCAGTAAGACCAATAAAAAATGTATTTTTTATTTTTATTCATATACTAGAGGCCTGATGCACGAAATCTGTGCAACAGTAGGCCTTCCTTTCCCTGGCTGCCAGCACTGGCTTCCCTCTAGCACCCGGGACCTGGGCTTCCCTCCAGCCACTGGCCCCAGCTTCATCCGGAAGGTCGTCAGAAGGATGTCTGGTCTAATTAGCATATTGTGCTTTTATTATTATAGACTAGAGGCCTGGTGCAAGAAATTCGTGCACGAGGCGGGCAGGGGGGTGTCCCTCAGCCTGACCTGCACCCTCTCCAATCTGGGACATCCCTCTCACAATCCGGGACCGTTGGCTCCTAACCGCTCTCCTGCCTGCCTGCCTGATCGCCCCTAACCACCTCTGCCTGCCTGCCTGATTGCCCCTAACTGCCCCCCCGCCCCCGCTGGCCTGGTCACCCCTTACTGCCCTCCCTGCCGGCCTGGTCGCCCCACACAGCCTGCTGTTCAGTCGTTTGGTCGTCCCTCACTAAACCCCCCTGCGGCCTGGTCGCCCCACACAGCCTGCTGGTCATTACTGTTACTGTGACGGCGTCCCGGACAATTTGCATATTCCTCTATTATTAGTATAGATTGGTTGACTGAATAGTCATCTTTTAATTTGGGGTCACAACCCAATTTTTCTAGAACCAAGCTTCAGTTTTTATAGACTCACACCTGCAGGTATGCTTTGCAATACAGAATTTAAGCACTCTCAAATTTTACATATCTCCTCCACTCACTTTTATCTCACTTCATGCATTTATCTTACATACCTGATCCCTGAAAACAGCTGAATTTTAAAAATAGCTTAACTGAGTTGAAGTTCATCCGAGCTCAATCTCAGGCTCCCTTCCTCCTTCTTATTTCCTCCCTAGATAATAACGCCCACTCCAAAGGCTTAAATTAATATGATCTCAACATGAAGTACATCATCACCATAGCTATCTGAATGCTTTCTAGACACCAGACACGGTTTTAAGCATATTATATGTGTCATCTCATTTAATCCTTACAGGAACCTTATGAGTTGGACATTATCACCCTCGCTAAACATGAGGCATGGAGGCATAGAGGGACTGTGCGTGTGTGCAAGGTCACGCGATTAATCACGGATAAAGCCTGAATTTGAACCAAGCCATCAATCTAGTGCCAGAGACTTCTCCGAACCATTATATTCTAATGCCTCTGCCCTAACATGAAACATGGTCTCACTTTTTATGGTCATTTGAACTTTACTAATTCTGTGAAGCCCATAGGGGAGTGGCCTACCGTGGAGACCTGGACACCAGAACTTGCCGGAATATGACTGAGTCCTACAGTATTTTAAAGGCAGCTGTACTGATTTAAACGTTAAATGTCTTAAGTGTATTACTCTTCTTATTCACACACAAAGAAAACTGTGTATTTAAAATGAAAAGACCTCATTCCTTACCTTTGATGTCTCTATGAACAATCATATTACTATGTAAATAGTAGACGCCTTCCAGAATCTGACGGGTGTATTTCCTGGTCACATTCTCAGTAAGAGCTCCATATGCTTTTAATTGGTCCTTAATTGAACCCTAAATGAAAACAAAAGAAAACTATTGTATGGTTTGAAATGAACCACTATATTACATCTTTATTTTTTAAAGAATCCTAGCTGAGTGGGAAAGCATGGGAATTCTCAGTAAGAGCGTATATGCCATCTCATTTACATACAATTCAATTATATACTAGTATTCCCTGACAAGAGCTGTGTAAGAGCATGGGTCACCACTAAAGGAAGCCTTTACAATGATTCTTGATCCTTGTTTGTATTACTATCTTGGTTCTAACTGTCTCATATTCCTTGCAACTGTGTTTCTAAAAATTCTCTTGTACTTTTATATTGTTTTGCCCAGAATATATTTTTGCTTTTCCTACTTGTTCTTCTATATATGTCCTACTTAATTATTTATTTTTTTCTTTCTCTGTTTTTAGAAGCATTTTATTATTATTATTTTTTTTTATTTTTATTTTATTTAGAAGCGTTTTATTGATATCTGCCAATTTATTTCTCAGGAGAAAGAATGGGTATGATTAGAAAATCAGAACACATTCAATTTTAAAGTTTTTCCTTTATATACTTAACATGCTAGTTCAAAACATGAGAAAACATATTAAAGAGGAATTTCAAATTGTCCTAAGTATTTTTAATGCAGGACGAGGTGCCATCTTGGAGAATGCTGAGTCAGTCTGATGTGAGACAGACACGTGAATTTTACAAAAGCTGCCCTACTGGTTCCAATGTGCAAATCTGATGAATAACAAACACTTTAAAAGATGGAAAGAAAATGCTTCCTGAGGAACAGATCTTCTCTTTTAAGATTTATTGTGCCGACGGCACTAACGATCCATTGGTGTAGCTGTTTATCTTTGTGTACCTTCTTCAGTAGGAACAACTGGAATGGGTTGGGAAGCACTGTGCCAGCTAAAAATTGCATGTGTGTAGCCCTAACCAGTTTGGCTCAGTGGATAGAGCATCGGCCTGCAGACTGAAGGGTCCCAGGTTCGATTCTGGTCAAGGGCATGTACCTTGGTTGCAGGCACATCCCCAGTAGGAGGTGTGCAGGAGGCAGCTGATCAATGTTTCTCTGTCATCGATGTTTCTAACTCTCTATTCCTCTCCCTTCCTCTCTGTAAAAAATCAATAAAATATATTAAAAAAATTGCATGTGTGTATGTAAAATTAACAGAGATTAAAAACGACTGCTAGTCCAGGTACTGAAAATAAAAGTAGTTATAGTTCTAGTCTGAAAGTAGTTGTAGATACACTAAGGAATGGGGTGCTGTGCTTGAGAAAATGGAAGAAGAGATGACAATTTTGGCAAATCTTGAATCCAGCAAGCTTAATTTACTGAGAAAAATTATATAGCATCATTCACAAACTTGGAGATTCAGGAAAGTCTAGGAACATGTACCGTATGTCCAACCCATTGATGCCATGGGCTTACCATATTTACAATTCATTCAGATTGTCAATTAACTATAACTAATTTGGTAATGAGCTTTTAAATTTAAGGAACTGAAATCTATACTTTGATAAGACAGCTGCTTTTATGTGATCTAACACCTCTTCCTGAATAATCCTGGTTTATCCTAAGATTGCTAACTATATAAAGATTATCCATCTCTATTTGTGATATAAATCAGTTTTAACCAATTAATCATTTTAATTAATCGTATCTTCAACAATCTGAGTCTCTATTCACTGTTATTCATAATTATTTTCTATCTTAATTTAAATATTACACAAATAGTTCAACTTTGCCACAATTTTAATTTTTAACATTGTTCTCTTGGACAATGCCATCATAATTTACTTCCACCATGGGCAATGAATTTCCATTTTTTCCATCACAGATCATACTAAAATAAATATATGCAGCTTTTTCCTTCTTTTGGATTACTTCTGTAGAATAAATTTCTGTGAGATGCCCTTGTGAGACTGAGTATGGTTAAGACCACTACTATCAGAATCTGGTCCAATTTTATGATTCATAAGCTTACCCTACAACAGGGGTGGGCAAACTTTTTGACTCGAGGGCCACAATGGGTTCTTAAACTGGACCAGAGGGCCGGAACAAAAGCATGGATGGAGTGTTTGTGTGAACTAATATAAATTCAAAGTAAACATCATTACATAAAAGGGTACGGTCTTTTTTTTTTTTTAGTTTTATTCATTTCAAACGGGCCGGATCCAGCCCGCGGGCCGTAGTTTGCCCACGGCTGCCCTACAACCTTGTACATTCTACATATAATTCTAACAAACTATTCCCTTAAAGACCCATAAATCAAACCTTTTTTCTATCATATATGACTTATTAAACTATGAGAATGCATGTATTTTTTAAATAATTTTTTTATTGATTTCAGAGAGGAAGGGAGAGGGAGAGAGATAGAAACAGCAATGAAGAGAAGCACTGATTGGCTGCCTCCTGCATCCCCCTACTGGGGATTGAGTCCCCAACCCAGGCATGTGTCCTGGCCAGGAATCAAACCATGACCTACTGGTTGATAGGTCGATCAATGCTCAACCACTGAGCGACACTGGATGGATTGCATGTATTTTTAAATGCGTAAACATACCATCTTGAAAATCATTAGTATTAGAATGTACTCTACATATTATAAAAATAATATAGAGGGATGGCTCTATGAATCACGTTTTGCAGCTCCTAATGAAATTATTTACTGAGACGATTATTATCAAACTGTGTTATAAACATTAGGTGATGGCTGAAAAGGAACTGTGAGTCATTGCTTTAGCTCATTACTTTCTGGTCTTCAGGAAAAAACAAAACTTGACAATGGAAGAATCAGGGTATCAAGCACCCTAATCTAGCCATCAATCTTAGCATCACTAACAATGAAACAACCAAAAACTGTATCTAATGGGATGCAACATAAAGTACACAGCATGATCTATGGCGCATTCTAATAAAAAATGTTAAATTTGAATCTAACTTAGACTTTAGATCTAACCTGGAGTTTATAGAAAATAAGGGGATAAAGGAACAAATTATAAAATGCCATGAGGTGAGACTGTCAACAGAACAATAGCCTGTTAAATCTATGTCACATAAAACTGCTCTGGATTAAAAGAGGAGTGCCCGGTCAGCATGGCTCAGTGGTTGAGCATCGACCTATGAACCAGGAGGTCTCGGTTTGATTCCTGGTCAGGGCACATGGCCAGGTTGTGGGCTTGATCCCCAGTGTGGGGTGTGTAGGAGGCAGCCAATCAATGATTCTCTCTCATTATTGATGCTTCTCTCTCTCTCCCTCTCCCTTCCTCTCTGAAATCAATAAAAACTTATTAAAAATAAATGTACTATGTGGTCCTGAACTGGATCCTGGTTTGGACAAACCAGCTATTACGAATATTTTTAAGGCTCTTAGAGAAATCTCAGTATGGACTATGATGCTTGTAACCTATTTTAGTATATATTAGAATTTTTAAAATGAGTTAAAAGCCGAGGCTGGTTTGGCTCAGTGGATAGAGCGTCGGCCTGGGAACTGAAAGGTCCCAGGTTCGATTCCGGTCGGGGGCATGTGCCTGGGTTGCGGGCACATCCCCAGTGGGAGATGTGCGGGAGGCGGCTGATTGATGTTTCTCTCTCATCGATGTTTCTGGCTCTCTATCTCTCTCCCTTCCTCTCTGTGAAAAATCAATAAAATATATTTAAAAAAAAAATAAATAAAAAAAATGAGTTAAAAATACAAAGATAGATGAAGAAGATAGAAAATAAAATTGGAGAGCATTATGCTAAGCGAAATAAGCCAGTCAGAGAAAGATAAATAGGATCTCACTCATTTGTGGAATATAATGAACAACGTAAACTGATGAACAAAAATAGATCCAGAGACAGAGAAGCATCAATCAGACTGTCAAACCTCAGAGGGAAGGCAGGGGTGGTGGTGGGGGTAAGAGATCAACCAAAGGACTTGTATGCATTCATATAAGCATAACCAATGGACATAGACAACAGGGGGGTGAGGGCATGTGCTGGGGGTGGGAGCAGCTGAGGAGAGGTCAATGGAGGAAAAAGGAGACATGTAATACTTTAAACAATAAACAATTTAAATAAAAAAAATAAAGAAAATAAAATTATTTTACTAATTTAAAACTCTTTCAAAATTTCATTAACTAGGTATAACATTTTATAAATCAAAGTTTTATTATTTTTCCTTCCTCAACTAAATCTTTAAATAAAATGTCTATTTTTTTCATATGTTTTTATTGATTTCAGAGGGAGGAAGGGAGAGGGAGAGAGAGATAAAAACATCAATGATAAGAATAATCATTGATCAGCTACCTCCTGCAAGCCCCCTACTGGGGATCGAGTCCACAATCCGGGCATGTGCCCTGATCAGGAATCCAACCATGATCCTGGTCATGGGTCAATGCTCAACCACTGAGCAACGCTGGCCGAAAGTATGCTATTTTCAAAGGATATACTAACTTACCCCTGGCATATATTCCATAAATATGGAAAGTTTTTTTTCCTGGAGATCCCTCAAACAGCCATAATACTGAACGATTCGTTCATGCAATAAATTTTTCAACAACTGAATTTCACACTCAAGTGCATTTACTTCCTGAAAGACAGAACTCATTGTTAAATCTTTACAGCATTGTTAGTAAAAGTAAAAAATTAGAATTTCATTGACCATCAAGGTGATTTAATTCTGAGATTTTTACTTCCTAAGGAATAAACATTTTTAAGTCTGTAAATAATAACTGTCCTTGAAGGTATGCTAAAGCAACACTAAATCAAAATGTAACTGAGCATTAAAAGAGAAAAATCCACAGTACAAAGTAGATAAACATATCTAATTATTGATTTTGCAAATAATTTGTGTTAGGAAAAATAAACATTCTATCATGTGTTACATTTATTTTATTAAAAACACGTGTTTTCTGTGTGCAGCGAGTCTTACCTTGCTGGTCTCAGGTCTCTCGGGGTCAAACTGAACTTGCTTAACAGCCAACTCTCTTCCTGTATCGACATCATAACAGAGGTAGACCCTGCCAAAGGCTCCCTGGCCAAGCAGTTTGCCCAATCTCCAGTTTATTGGAGCACGGGGTGCTAAAAAAGAACACTTTTTAAAAATGGAATATCTAGATTGCACAAAAATGGTTAAGGACTAAATGAGTATGCTGCATTAGTAACATTCTTGATTGAATATGCTTGGGTGTGAGGAAAAATCATGGTCATCCAAGTTCATAATGATCATCATGGTTTGGGTTTTTTAAACATTTTCTTTATTGATTTTTAGAGAGAGAGAGAAATATCGATTGGCCACCTCCTGCACACCCCTACCTGGGCATGTGTCTTGACCGGAAATTGAATCAACGACCTTTCAGTGCACAGAACAACACTCAACGGAACCACACAGGCCAGTGCAAGATCACCAGCTTTGAAAAACTGCCTCTTCAGTCAATTTTCTAAGAATTCTAAACCCAAACAAGGTTCATAATCCCATAACTCATTTTTTCCAATGCAATGAGATTATTTTCTTTCTTGGTTATATATGTAATAGTATTATTTCACTCAATCTAAGATGCCACTGCTTGTAAGATAAACTACTTATGATCTTTACTGCAGCAATATTTATAGTCAGTTTTCCATCTGCCTATGATATAGAAAGCTGGAAAGAGCCCTACTCTAATTCTAACAAAAGAAAATCTTGAAAACAGCCCGAGGGAAAAAAGCAAACTACAGGCAAAGGAACAAAGACACAAACTACAGAACACTTCTCCTCAGAAAATATAAAAGCCAAAAAACTAGGGAGAAATATTTTTAAAGTGCTGAAAGGGAAAAAAACCTGCTTAGAATTCTACACCCAGAAAATAAAATCTTTCAAAAAGAAAGGAGAAACAAAGACCTTTTTCAAAAAAACAAAAGCTGAAAGAACTTATTACCAGCAGATTTGTATTAGAAGAAAGGTTAAAGTAATTATTCAAGCAGAAGAAATTTAATACCTGACAGAATCTTGGATCTACATAAAGATCTACATAAATAAACTGAAGGTATATATAAAAGGCTTTTTTTCTCTTATTTTTTAATCCTTTAAAAGACAGCTGTCTAAGGCAAATGTAGTGTGAGGGCATAGATGTAAAAGTAAAACATGATGACACCAGCACAAAAGGGAGGAATTCAGAGAATGCAAATATTACTGTAATCTTTGAGCGTGCATCTTTGTATGCACCGATTACATGATAAAGTTCAGATACTTCACAATCTGGCCTGAGTTACCATTCTAGTCCTATTTCTACTCTTCCAAGTAAGATATCTTCCACTTCGGCCAAAAACAAACTCTTCCACACCTTCAGAATATGCCATGGCCTCTGCACATGTCACCTCCTTACTGGTGAATTCTTACTCACACGTAAGATCTAGACTAAATGTTACACTATAATTACTGCTCCAGATATCATTCTCCCTATTAGGCTATATCTGAGAGGGTGTATTTGAAATCTCAACACAGAAATGTGAAATGAATGAACGGATGACTAATTGATGACACTTCTCCCAATGAAAGAGGACAGAATCATCTAAAGTAATTCAGCAGCAATAACATGCTTTACCTGCCATTCCAATCACCTTTAGAAATACAACTTTGTTGAGAAGTTGGTCTCACTCTTGAGGACTGGCTTGATATTTATTCCTTTTAATACTATAAAATTCTGCAAAGGTTCTATTATACATTTCACTATGCCAATGACTATTACTTACAGCGGCTAGGTGGGCTGATGTCCATTACAGTTAAAGTAGGATTATCTATGTCACTTCCCCTTCTTCTTATTCGACTATCATCATACTCTGGGGTAAAGATACTGCTTCCACTACTAGTGCTTAAGGAGTGGTCAGTAGGACTGAAATTCACAGGAGACCGGAAGCTGGTCCCCTGGGTCCTTCTAGCTCTTGGAAAAGTTTTACGACCTACAAAACAAAAATATAATCACCTTAAAACTTTTATTAATATGTTGTAATTGAATGTTTTTAAAATTTGTAATGTAAGGAACAGAAATTTGTCCCATGACTAGGCTAAGAAACTGAAATAGCAATGATTATTTAATTATATGTTTTAAACCTAAAGTTAGTATTTTTTAAAGAGTTCAAGGAAAAATCCTTGTTAACAGTAAATCATAAAGTCAGTAACAAAAATACAAGGAAAAAAGGTGAAAGCAGAAATGAAAAGTAGGAGAAAAACAAACAAGATCTGAATACAAATTCAAATAATCTCTTATGTTAACACATATATACACACATTCATAAAAATCATAGAACTCTCACTTTGGGGTAAAAAGTAGAAAAAATATAATTTAGTCTCATTTCTAATCACGATTTAAAATATAAAAAAAAAAAATTGGAAAGTTAAAGGTAGCAATATTTTTTTCCCTTAAAAGGGCCATGCAAGTATGAATATTATGAAGGAGTAACTTTCTGAATAATATTTTTAATTATTCCCTTCCTTCTAGGGGAAAGATAAATACTATGAGGTAAGTTGGCATAAAACTAAGATGTTATTATAATTTTAGTTATGACCCAATTAAAAAAAATTTTAGGCAGAAAGCTAAATGATTGAGAAACAAGTTTATTTATAATAGTATTACTTAAATATGAAATTTTTATTTTTATTATTTTTGAGAATTTTCACAAACTGTTCTTATCTGAATGCCAGCAACGTACCATCATTATAGTCTTGATGGTGATATGAAACATGATACCTCCTTGGATAGGTTCCTCCTTTTCCAAATTTCTCAAAGATAGGGTTATCGTAGTCTATTGAGACACATAAGAAACTTATGTTATTAAGAAAGCCAAGTACTTCTTTCAAATAATGAAAAACATATTTACATGTTTTGATTTTTTAAAAAATTCCCCTCACCTTTCCCGCTAAACCATTACTTAATAGCATAAACATTAAACATTTAGAATGTGGATAATCTAACCTGAAAATTCCTGATGATTATCTGGGTAGCTCTGTGCCCTAGGCATTCGTGATTTTGGATAGCTGTCTCTAAAAGTAGAAAATGTCACATTAAATTGAGAGAATGTAAATAAAACATTAAAAAAACTGTATGCAATATCAATATCTGTACGTATGTGTGGAGATCATATCTATATATATAAAACCTAAATATGCAAATAGACCAAATGGCGGAACAACTGAACAACCAGTCGCTATGACGTGTGCTGACCACCAGGGGGCACGCATGGAACATGGCGGGCATCAGCAGCAGGCGGGATGGTGGAGCAGGTAAGCAGGGGCGCCAGACCAAGGCAGGGCGCCAGTTGCTGTCATCAGGGCGAGCCTCTGGTGATACCTGAAAATTCTTTGCTCCCGCGCGCCGCAGTCCCACCGGGCGCTCACACCTGCTGCCGGCGCCAGCCTCAGCCCCACTTGCACCTGCTGCCAGTGCTGGAGCCACCACCCGCATCCGCTGCCGGTGACTGGCGCCGGTCCCAATTGTTGGCGCTGTCAGCGTCAGCGGGTGTGAGTGGTGGCTCCCAGCCCCGATCGCCCCTCAGTGCTTCTTCACCTCCCTCTGCTCCTGAGGAGCGAACGGGACAGCAGCCGCTACTCGCACCCGCTACTCGCACCCGCTGCTGGCGTTGGCCCTAATTGCTCCACACCATCAGCGGGGCGGGTGCAAGCGGGCGGGTGCAAGCCGGGCTGGTGCCATCAGCGCATGGGAACAGCGGTGGCGGGAGCGGGATTGCTGGGAGATAGGGGACCGGGAACCACGGCAGGAGGGGCCAGGTAGGGGCGTGGAGGGTGGGCCGAGACCTGCCCCTGTGCCCACCGCAACCTCACGGCCCACAGTTCCTTTCAAGGTGCACGAATTTTCCTTAAACTCTTATTGGTCCATGCAGACATGAAGTGTGGCTTTAAAGATGAACCCATGGAGTTCAGATGATGTGCTTAGGAATCACAGGTGCTCGGGCATGCCTGTGCTTTATCCTCGCTCTGTCACTTCACTAGCTGTTGCAACCTTGGAATCACCTTTCTGAGACTGTTTCCACATCTATAAAAAAAGAGGTAATATGCCCTAACCAGTTCGGCTCAGTGGATAGAGCGGCGGCCTGTGGACTGAAGGGTCCCAGGTTCGATTCCAGTCAAGGGCATGTACCTTGGTTGCGGGCACATCCCCAGTAGGAAGTGTGCAGGAGGCAGCTGATTGATGTTTCTCTCTCATTGATGTTTCTAACTCTCTATCCCTCTCCCTTCCTCTCTGTAAAAAATCAATTAAAAAAAAACAACCCAAAAAAATAAACCACGCCATAGACACCTCATTAAAAAAAAAAAGGAAGTAATTTCTAACTTATCAAGTATATATATTTTACATTATTATTTCCCTAAATTTCTTAAATGTTTTAAATGGCTGTCTTGATGTAGATGCAAGCAAAGACAAAGGCTTCATGTACACAGGTAACAGAAAATTAAATGTCTATTCCCTTACAATATTAGTTATATTTTTACAATAAAGATTTTAATAAAGACACTGACTCTGTGTGTCCTAATTGAGACCAGGAGAGAGGGAGCACTTGTAACAAAAAATTCACTTGATCCGCCTTATATTCTTGAACAGCTATTTTACAAAACAATAGGATTTCAATTTTACATCACAATCAACATACTGGGCCACAACTACCAAGACTGTTAAGTTATTTATAATTTGGTGCCAGAACAAACATAATTCTAAACAGGTGAAACAAAACTCACAAAATCTCCAAAACATTAATACAAAATTTGATAGCAGTTTTGCCAATACAGTTTTAAAAGTAAACGTACTTAAATTCTAAGTTTGCATTTAACTTCAAAACACTATTTTGGCAAGCAGGAATACTCAAAATATTATAATAAGGTGTCAGTTTTAACGAATAATGATACTGAGTCCCATGAGGTTAAGGGATTTGTCTACACTATACAAAAATTAATTTGCCATAAGTATGTATAGACAGTATCAATTACGTTCCTCTGAATGTAGCACAAAAGCATTGATAACTCAACATACTGTATATGTATGTATATGTATATATATGCATATTTACCCACATATGTTAAAAAACAAAAAATACAATCAACATTACCCATCCAAAGGACTATCAAGTGATGGACAACTTCCTGAGCCAGAATTTTCAGGGCTGCTTAAAAATAATGGGTCCAGCATCTAGAAAAATAGAGTTCCACCATTTGATGTGAAATAACCAGAAGTTACTGTTTTTTAAGAAACAAACAGCTTTATTGAGATATAAGTCATGTAACATAAAATTCACTCATTTCAAGTGTACAATTTAATGGTTTTTAGCAAGTATACTGAAAGTTGTGAGACCTCCTGACAATCTCAGAACACCGTCAGTACCTAAAAAAGAAACCTACCCAATAGCAGTTACCCTCAGAGCTACTAATTTTTAAATGTTTAAAATGTAGTTGTCCCTTATAGGTAGGCTACAAATTCAAAACATCCTAAGAGAAAAATGTTGTTTCTCTATGGACTAAATAATGAAAAGCTAAAAGATTTCACATAATTTTTCTTACTGTAAACCGAACAAAGGCCCCACCCAAATGAGACTAAACACCATGAGTGCTGCATTATTAGAAAATGAAACTGCAATAGAAGCAGCCAATGTAACTTACAGAAACTGCAGGAACTCCACAGAAATATTTCAGTACTACACAACTTTTCATAACATTTTTTTCTATTTTGTTCATTAGATTCCACAAAAATATGGAACGCCCCACGAGTTTGGGTGTCATCCTTGAGCAGGGGACATGCTAATCTTTTCTGTATGGTTCATTTATAGGTACGTACTGCTGGAGTGAGCACTTAGTAACTTTTTTTTTACATGTGCTTTTTAAAAAGATATATTTTTATTGATTTCAGAGAAGGGAAGGGCGAGAAACATCAATGATGAGAGAGAACCATCGATTGGCTGCCTCCTACACACCCCTTTCCAGGGATCAAGACAGAAACCCAGGCATGTACCCTGACCAGGAATCAAACCATGACCTCCTGGTTCATAGGCTGATGATCAACAGAGCTACAGCAGCCCGGTAGCATTTAGAAACATTTAAAAATGTTTTAGAAAGTTGATAAACCTCACCTTCACAAAGTTAAATGTCGTTTTGACTATATCTTTTAAATATTAATTTTAAAATCTGAATATTAACCCCAGGATTACAAATACTGCAATCATTTATTTATGGATGGGCAATATAAAATAATCCACCTTATTGTAACTTTCTTTATGCATGAATGCACACAGGCACACATAGTGTAGGGAAATTAGGCATTTTCCTACACTTTTTACCATTTTGTTCACTTAAGGAAGATATGGGATTAAGAGGTGTAATACACACACACACACACACACACACACACACACACACCTGCCAAACCACACTGACCTAGGCAATATCCCTTTAATAAAATAAGAAACCACATCCAACTCCTGCTTACTTGGTCCATGCTCTCTGGAATGAACTCCCCTTCACTGTGGATGCTGGTGAAGGACCCGTTCCTGGCAACCTGATGCAGTTCATCTGGAATGTATCCTGGGGGAGGGGAGCTTTGATCTCTACTAGTGGAACCTCAAACAAGAAAATTATAGGATTTTATAAAGATCAGCATGGAATCAATTTTTGTTTTAATTAAATATACATAGAACTTCTGGTCTATATTACCAATAATGTTAGCTACTGAAACCCAGTTTTTATTAAAGCTTATCAAAACATTCCTGTCTGTAAAACTTCAAATATTTTTATACCTTTCTAACTCCCACCCTACTATAATTATTGCCTCACTGTAATATTCATTCACACATATTAGGTGGTGCATTCTTCTGGCTGCTGACAAAGCACTGTGGGGTTGCTAATACAAGAAAGCTTTCTAGATGAGTGCCACTGCTCCCAAACTCCCAGAGGCCACTTGTGCCCAGGTGCTCCCCTGCGTAATGCACGGAAGGCATCCTGATGTAGTGGAGAGAACATGGCTTCAGAGTCAGACCTCGTTTTGATGGGGAAAATCTTTTTTTTGGGGGGGGGGGGGATAGCACTCTGAACTTGTGCCAGTAACCTAATGTACATTCTTGATAACCCATAATTAAGTCACTGCCCCTTTCCCAGAATCTGGTCTTGCAAGACCTGAGGCCAAAAACCATGAACAGCACACAGCCCCCAGAGGGGGGATTATCAGCGCTGGTGCCAGGCCAGGCCCTTAGGTATGGTCTCAAGACCCCCAACACCTGGGGCTTTTTGCAAAGCTCACGAAAGGTCCGGACGTATAATCCATATTTGGGGGACAAAGACACCAAAAGGGGATAAAAGAAGGGCTTCCATCATATTGGTTTGCTCAGAATTTGAGAGGCAACCTCCTCTGAGTCTGCCTGCGTAAGAAAGCTGTGTAACTCCATTTCTCTAAGCATTGCTTCGGTTTTCTCCGGTCTTCTACAACAGTTTAAATCCCAGTTATAGCTATTTGTCAGCTCTGTGTCTTTGGGAAAGTGACCCAATCCCCAGAAACCTGTTCCTCACTGGCAAACATGGGACTAAATCCCTTCTCTGCAAGAGTACTGTGACTATAAAATTATTCATAATGAGCATATGCCTGCACATTTGGCTCCACAGTTTTCCTTCCATTCCCTCTCTAATCTTTAGAAACCGAAAGTGAGATGACTTCTTAACCATTTAGCTTGTATTAGAGTGTTTTCAATTTGGAGTCCTGAATTTTATTATTGGGGACTTAAAATTAGGCTGTTGTTTTTGTGGCAAGCCATGTTCCTGAAATGTACATTTCTTTATAATTTAGAAAACTGGAGAATCTAATATAGTTTATCTAATTAATCACTTAATTTCTTATTAGACAATAATCCACTTTATTCTTACCTGGATGTACAGAAACAATGTCATGTTTATTAACACAGTTTCTCTCTGCTCCTAATTTTTTGAACTTAAACTTTAAAAAAACATATGGGGAAGTTATATGAGTATTAAAAGCTCTGGTCAGATTTAAAAACAAAATAGGTTTTACCTTACGTAAAGGGGTCATTGTGAGTATATGTCAGTATTTGTTGGTGATGAGACCCGGGAAAAGAGTTTAAAGAAGTAGCAAATGGAAGACCAGTAATTTTTTAATTTGTAATTTACAATTTCTTATCTAGCAATGAAATCAAACAAGGATGTTTATTACAAGAACAACAGTGAGACATTCAGTACAATTTTAATTAAAAATGAATTGAAAATGTCAAATTAACTAATGCATTTAGCTTGTTCTGTCTAATGCAACTAAAATAAATTGGCAATGTTTGCCCTGGCTGGCACAGCTCAGCTGGTTGGAGCTTCATCCTGTACACCAAAAGATAGCAGGTTCAATCCTGGTCAGGACACATGCCCAGGTTGTGGGTTCGATCCCTGGTCAGGGTGCGTACAGGAGGCAACCGATTAATGCTTCTCTCACATCAATATTTCTCTCTCTCCCCCTAAAATCAATTAAAAAATAATTATAAATAAAAATAAATTGGGAATATTTTACTTTAAAATGATAGGTACTAAAATGTGATAAGGAAAGGGAATAAAGAAAGAAATGTATAATTACTAATAGTCATGCTTCCTAGTCTGAAAAGCAAAATGTACTTGAAAGGTGCTCTCTCAATTTACTGCTATAACAATCCCATAATTTAAAGTGGACAAAGTTACCAATCTCAGATTAATCAGAGAAATGGAAGTGAAATGCAGGTATCCCTAATGTTCTTTCAACAGACGTTTAAATTATATAAAAATATAGCCAAATGAAGATGAACAATTTTTATTTTACTTGTATATTTTCTTTGTTGCTCACATTTTCAGCATTTCTGAACAGAAGAATTTATGTAAGATGATACTCAGAAGGACCAAAACAGATGATAAATAACCGCTATTTTTGGTGATTCACATGCTAATTTAATCTCTTCTCTCGTTATTAACAAATGTCTTCTGTTACCAGTCTTAGATTCCCAATCACATCTCTTATTTTGTCATACTCTCCTGCTTCCTCCATATTCATCTGTTTTTCCTCCTCTTCTACTTCTTCCCTTCAAAACCTTCGCTCAAATATGTTTTCGTGCTATCTTTAATGACCAGTCACTGCCCAATCTGCTAAACACATTTACACCAGTGGTTTCTGAGCAATGTAATGCTCCTACAATATAAAAACGTAGCTTATCAGTGTTCCACACAAAGAGAAGACTGGGGCGCTCTGAGCACCTCTGCCCACCCCATGCCCCACTAACAGGCCTCCTGTAAAACACGGCATACAACATCCATTTCTCTTTGCACCACAGCTTAATTGTAACAGTATATCATTACTGAGAAATAAAAACTGAATACTACTCCTATAAAATAAAGAGCTAATATGCTAATTAGACCAAACAGCAGAACGACCCTCCAGAGGAAGCCGAGGCAGCCGGGGCTGCAAGGGCCAAGCCTCTTGCACAAATTTCATGCATTGGGCCTCCAGTAAAGTAATAATAAAGCATAATCTAGAAACTCTTTATTTTGATAACATTCTTGACATTAACTAAAACTCAGAGAAAGGCTTATGAACGTAGTCCATCCATTAATTTTATTTTTTAATCCTCACACAAGGTCATGCTTTTAGAGAAGAAGGGAGGGAGGGAGGGAGGGAGGAGAAGTAGAGGACGAGGACGAGGACGAGGACAAGGATGAGGACGAGAAAGAGGAAAGGGAAGGGAAGGGAAGGGGAGAGAGAGAGAGAGAGAGAGAGAGAGAGAGAGAGAGAAAAGAGAAAGATCAAAGTGAGAGAGAAACATTGATCAGTTGCCTTCCGCATGCTCCCCAATTGGGGACCAAACCCACAACCCAGGAATGTGCCCTGACAGGGAATTGAACCAGCAACCTTTCAGTGCAGGGACAATTCTCAACCAAGTGAGCCCCTCTGGACGGGCCATCTATTAATTTTAATATATGAAAATACTTCTTTTAATTTTTCCCTCCAGTTTCTTTGTATAGTTAAAATTTCTTTGAGTAATTTGAATTTGTTCAACATTAAAATACCCTGGGGGTATATAAAGAAAGAGAATGTGTAAATGGGAGACTGCTAATCCTGTAATACTTGACATAATTTTTCAAGAAATATCAGATACTAGAAGATAGTTAACTTAGATAAATTACAGAGAGTTAGAGATAGCCTGCTATTTATCAGGGTTATGTTTAGTATATATAAAAGGTTAGAGGAAAAAACTGAGAAATCACCCATTTCACGATTTGGATACTAGCTCTCTTACCTATTACAGAAAGCCGTTTTTTCCTCTCTGCTTCAAATACTGTGTTATCCAAATCATCTAGTGATGGCAATGGTTCTACATTAGTAGCCTACAGAGGAAAAAGGATGATTAATGCGATTCTTCCCCTTTAAGGCTTAAACAGAATCCTAGATATTCTATATTGTTTGTGGGTCTTATCAAATCTACTCTTTAACATTTTAACATAATTCTTCCCAAGTTCTCAGTTTCTGCTAGTTTCATATGTACAATATATTACACTTGTAATATTGGCTATAGAGTTTTGAGGAGTAAAGACATTAAACGATAGCAGTTACAATGAGTACGTTTTCATTTAATCATATTGAAAATATATCAATAATTATAGGCTGTAACTATGTTTCATATATTAATTTTCACAGGCACAAATCCTATAGTCCTTACTGACAAACAATCCCGACTCATACCTGTGTACTTCCATTTACCACAAGTAATATCTTGAGGCTCTTCATATGAACACTGCGATCCAGCAGCTCCACAGCTTTGTCCAAGTCATCTTGAGTAGTTAATGGGATCACCAACTACACAAAAAGGAACATCAGGAATCATGCAGCCATCAAGTCCTTCCAGGACCATCTCATTCCTATGGGATTCTAACTCAGAGCTCTCAGAATACCTGCCTCTTTGATTTGTCAATATAATGGAATTCTGAATGAATACATGTATCCAGACTGCTTTGCTCTTCCAATCCTACCACCACTAAAATCACAGAAAAAATATAAACACTTTTTTTTGCTTTATGAATCATTAAATTATTCTAGAAACACATTTAAAATTAATTATCTAGGATATTTCCATAATATTGCTAAACTTAAGTTATAGTACCTTCACTCCAAAACAGCATTAAAGAGTATACACAAAAACTATCCTATCCTATATAACAAAATCCTAATATGCAAATCGACCGAACGGTGGAACGGGGCACCTCCTGTGTTGAGCGTCTGTCCCCCGAGAGGGAGGCGACTGGCGGTAGGGTATGCAAAGAGTTTGAGAGAAAGAACATTCTTGGTAGAGAAAGCAGTTTGTGAGCAGTGGGAGGCCCTAATATGGAAAAGACTTCTGCGCTCCAGGGATAGAAGTCCCAGTGGGAATGGAGTGACAGGGGAGGTGTTGGGTCCGAGTCCCTAGGCCAGGGACTGGACCTCCTTGGATGTCAGGTACCGGATGGAAAAGATATGAGCAGTCATAGGCGTATAAGAGACTTTATTGTAGACCCAGTAACCCTTGCTAATATAGTAGCAAACACAGGAGCCATTGCTAACAAACTCTTTGCAGGGTTGTCTTTTCCTACCTCAGTTTTCAGTAATTAAACATTAGCACCTCAGTCAGGTCTTCCTTAGTACTATCTAAATAGAATACCTACTGCCCTTGCCTTTATTCTTTGTCACAATATTTTATGCATACCCTTCAAAGAACTTAATATATTTAAACAGTTCATTTATTAACTGTCTGCTTCTCTTACTATAAGTCTATAAATTCCATAAGGGGCTGTAATTCCTAACTCATAGCATTATGCCTGGCAAATTCAACAAGTATTTTCTGAGGGGGTAAACAAACAAACAAAAAAGGTACAAATTAACCGGTAAACTACATTGTCCCTGAAAATTTTAAGGTCTCAAGATCTTGAGATCTCTTCATAGGACCTGAAAGAAACCTCAGAGATCATCAAATCGAATCCAAATTTTACAGAAGTTTCAAAAGGGGTTCCCCAGAACACAGAGCTCCTCAGGGCCACAGCAAGCCCTTAAGATCATGTACCACTCCCAAATGTAAACATGATCTAATCATGTCTTAACCACCATGAAAATAATCCTGTAAGTTTTAACTAAACTCACTACCAAAGCTCTACTGCCTCTTTAGTAAGTATAGAGCATGAGAAAAGATAATTTATCAATAAAGTACACAGAGTAAAAATAAAATATAAATAAGCAGCAAATGTTTAAATAATATA